ATTAACATTGCCAGTAGAACAAACTGTTATTATTTGTCTCCTGATGTGATACAGTGGGAAGAATACACCACCACCTATGGTAATTTTTCCAAATATGTTTAGCTTGATTCTAATCATAAGGAAATGATAATCGCAAGACATTCTTAAAAAAACCAAGTGGACTGGACTCTGCAAAAATGCCAATTTCATGAACAACAAGCTGGGGGAAATGTTCTGAATTAAAGGATATTAAAGGAATATGGCAATTAAATGTAACAGATGTTCCTTGAGTTGATCCTAGATATTTAAATATCTAAAAGGACATTTTTAGATATTTGATTGAAAGGAATAATTGAGAGAAATTTGAATGTGGATAATACTCTTAACAGTATTATGAAATCTACTGTGATGTGGACAAAGGGTTAACAAAATACTTTCCCATTCTGCATGAATAGCTAATCTTAGGTTAACTCTCTAACTCTGCTTCCCTAAAAACAGACAAACCAGAATGTGTCAGCTATGTTAATAAATCTATTTATGGTAAAAATGACTCCTGATTGGCAAACGACACTTGGCTAAACTGGGAGAACACCATATTTTGGGTTTCTCTGACTATAACATTTCTTTTAAGGGACATGTCCTTATATAGCATAACCCTGGAAGATATGCTTACAGAGTCCTTATACAGACATCGTATCGATCTATGGAGGCTTCCTAAGTCAGGACTGTTCCCATACTTGCCTGATGCGGATCTCATCTAGTATTTGAACTCTAGCACTGGTGGAAAAGAGAGCTCCTGGAAGTCTATGTGAGCTCTTATGGGCATCAATCACTACAGCCAGGCTACAGGGGGCTGAGCACCAAATATAATAATAATTATAAATTTAAAAATGTATATTAGATTAAGAATAAATATCAGTCAAAAGGGAGAAAATATATTACACAATGGCTATATATATATTAAATTATGATTATGTAAAACTATAAATTAGTGGGCATACTCAAATACATAACTGTTTCCAGTAATCATTTTGGTGGTAAAGTTATTAATATTCTGAGAATGTTTTATGTATCATAAAGAATAAAGGAAATGAACAATTACATGATATCTTAATTTTATCAGCACTGGAGACTTGGAGAATTGGTGCTGAGCAAAAGAGATACAGAACAAAGATAATAAAGTTCAACCAAACACCATTTAATCCTAACTTTGGCCAGGAAGTTACCATGTGAACTCATTAGGTAATTTATTATTATTTAGATATGTAAAGACACTCATCCGTATGTATATTTATAGATTTTCTATCTTTAGCCAGGAAAAAATCCAAGAAACAATTTTCAATGCAGAAAAATTGAAACATGTAGCACCTAGATTGTGGTCTTGAAATACCATTTCCCACTAAAAGAAACCAAAAGTTAGCAGATTTAAGGCAAATTAAAAGCTTGAGGCAGGAAATGTACAAGATAAGCCAGGAACATCTTGTCATAACATACAGTAAAAGAGGTATTAAAGACTAGGAGTCAAAAGGACTTGACAGGCAACATTACATGGTCCACTGACCCAAGATGCAAAAATCTGAGAAATAATAAGGATAATAACTGTAATTGGCTGAAATATAATTACTATGCCTAAGTTGACAAATTTATAATGACGATAAAATAATGGTCTGGTCACCTAAGAAGGCTCCTAGGTTACCAACTGTTTAACAGTTGAAAAGATAAATAAAGGGAAAAATGAAGCATTTATCTAGTCTTTGTTATACAAACTGTATTAGTAGGGTACCAAGTAGTAGGTGATTTAAAAATTATTTATATTTACATTTAGTAAGTAAAAAATAAATTTTAGAATGACCATTTTGGAATGTCAAATGAATTAATGCATATAGGCACTGACCACAAATGTCTGCTTAAATCACAAAGAGGGAGACAACCAGAAAGTTTACATTGAGAACCTAATCTACCTACCCCATATTCAGCCTGGACACAGAGGAGTGAAACTACCAATCCCTCCATGTAATTTACTGTCTAAATTAACATGATGTAACTATGTCACTGTCTTCCTTAGCACAATTTTACTCTTCTGGAAGTTTCTTGCACAAAAAGTTCCTGAAAGATCCATCAACTATTCAATGGAAAACATCAATAGAGTTTGTACTCTAAGATTCTTTCAGTCCCTAGTCTCAAACTTCTAGTTATTTCCACTCATTCTCCACTGCGCTGTCTCGATCTTCATCCAATCCTAATCAAGTCCTCACATAAAGACCGGCCTTAAACCAAACTTCTAATTCTCAATATAAGTGCCAACACATGATGCATACAACACTGCCCAGGAAGTTGTCTTGCAAAATAAATAGATACATAAATAAAATCTAAATCTGATTAAGCTTCTTGACCCCACTACTTATTTAGAGGATATAGAGAGGTCAGAGAACATGTTTAAGTAAATCTCAGGGATGGCATCAGCAAAGTTCCAAATGGAGGATATTGTTTCTTCAGCAAATAAATGGTTAGGAACAAAAAAGAGGTGAAGAGGAAACTTAGAGATTAAAGGCTTAAAAGACATATAAAGAAATTAGAGGAAGAAAAAAGGAAGGAACTTATTACCACTAAAATCAGAATAGGGAGAAGATTGTAATTGGGTGGAGACATGTGGAGGGCTTCAGAGTTGACTAGAAAAGCTTATCTTCTTGTTTAGAAATGCTGCTTAAAGGGTTTAAAAGAATCTTGTGCATTATTCTTACAACCTTTTTGTAACTCTGAAATTATATTAAAATACAGAATTTAAAAAAAGTTTTAATTTCTGACCTGGATGTAGTGACATGGTTGTTTAACTTATGTAACTTATTAAGAGACACATTTGTTTTATGTTGTTCTCTACACTTGTCTAATACTTTTTTAAATGGCTTAAAATTTTTAAAAAATTAATTCACTGATTCTAATATTTCTTATGCCTAACAATTCAAATTCAACAAAACCTC